CAAGATGCTCCACTCTCCACTTAGGCTGTTCAAATCCAAGCTCCCCATCGCCTCTGGTTCCCTTTCCAGGAAAATGGAATTTCAAAGGTGAATGTCAAGCGTGCTGGCCACTACTGAGGTAGTCGTCACTGCTTGTTGTCTAAGTGCTAAGAAGCAGCTCCGTCGTTACCTGGGGTGCACTCTGGTGCCCCCCACTGTATCCCAGCCACAAGGGCTTCCTTCTTACTTTTCCTGGATCCATGACTGTCCCACCCTTCCCTTCATACACAAGGTGAAAAGGAAGTTTCCAAACCAGGCAGGAGGATGCATTTGGTTTCGATTATGAAAACAAATCTTAGGTATCTGCTTAAGGTCTTAAAAGTATAACTCTGTACAATTATTAAAAAAAAACAGAAAAGAATCTGATCATTACCATGCCATGAGTCAATTATACTAAAACTATAGCCGGACATCCTTGGGAGACCAACTAAGACACTACCGTCTCTAGAATGGGAGTCTCCCTCCTGCCTCTCCATGTACTTGGAGCTGGAGCTGCAGCATTCAGCTGCCTGGGAAGCAAGGTTCCACCTCAGCTGGAGTAAAAGATGCCCGCCGCACTGGACGACTCCATGGAGGGGACACACTCGCAGTCCCGGCCAGCTCTAGTCCCCTGCTCCTCCCCACTGGCTCTGTGCTGTGTGGTCTCAACACACATATGTCTCCCCTGGTCCCGCAGGCAGTGCGGCCCCGCAGCTGCTCCAGGAGATGTGCTCTTCCTCTGCAGGCTCACAGCACCCCACCACGCAGCAGGCAGTGAAGGGTTCAGGTTCTGCAGAGACTCTGGCCTGAGCCTGCAGTCTCTTCTCTATGCCGTTCGGCTCTAACCACAGCAACTATTGGAAATTATCAAGGTTCGCTCAAGCCCTTCCAGCCTCAGAAACAGATGGGGCTGCTTCTGCCCAGAGGTGCTCTCCTGGAGTGTAGTTATGATGGGGACTGAGAGGGCCAAGATGGGAAGGTCATGTGGGAACCCCAGGCCAGCAGGGCCTCAGCCCAGAGGGCCCTTGCAATGCTCCTGCAGGCTGGCCTAATTTCCATGGTGTATATAGGTGCCCTCAGGCCACCTGTGTCCTGTGACCTTGACACAGGCCAAGCAAACCCCCTCCTGTCTGTACGTTGCTCCATTTCCTCTCCTCTTCCAGCCCATCTGAATCCTGTATTTTCTGCAAGACTCCCTGTGTCTGTTTTCTGTTGCTAAAACAAAATGCCCCAGTTTTGGCATTTTGTAAAGAAAAGAGGTTTATTTAGCTCATATTTCTAGAGGTTCAGAGGTGTAAAGCTCCCTGGTTCTGTCCTAATGATGGGTGGCACTGTGGGGGGAGTGCAGGGGAGTGGGGGCATCATGCAGCGAGGCAGGAAGCTCGAGAAGGGTGCAGGAGCTGAGCTTGCGCTGTGATGGCTCACCCTTGTGGGAGTTCAGCCACACTATGAGGCCAGCGCTCTTCCTTCTAAGGCTTCTTTTTTTTTTTTCTTTAAAGATTTATTTATTTATTTGGCACAGAGTCTCGCTACGCAGCTCAGACTCACAGTGATCCTCTTGTCTCAGCCTCCCCAGCGCTGAGATTATAGGCGTGTGCTGCCAGGCCTGGTTTCAGTGGCTAGCATTGCGGGGCCAACACAGCATGTGGTACTGGGGATCAAACCTGGGTCCTTGTGCTTGCCAGGCAGGCGCTTAGACCACTGAGCTATCTCCCCGGCCCATCCCTGTAATATTTCTAAGGATGTAGCTACCTCCTATTAGGCCCTACTGCTTAATTCCCACTGCCTCTTGCAACCTCCTCCATGCTGACTGAGGACCAAGCCTTTTAGTGTATGAACCTCTAGGGCACAAACCACATCCAAACAGCAGCTCATCTCTAGGGCAGCCACCATCATTACCCCCAACTGTAGCGTCACTGAACAGGGCCACCATCCTGGTTAGCCTATATTTGCGCCTCCAGCAAGGTTTTCTTGAGTCGTGCTGCTACATATCAACCATTTCATCAAAAAGAAGTGGAAATAAACCTGCAGCAACTGAGGACAG